ACCAGAGTAAACTCCCACAGGGCTTCTTGCACTCCTGCAAAACATCCAAGTCCACAGATCCCTTTTCAGTTTGACAATTGCACATGTAGAATCTAACAGGCCCTGTAATTTCTCTATATTCCAGCATAAGCAAAATAAGTCACTGCTTTCTGCATCCTATGGTGTTGCTTACCTTATGTCACTTTTATGCACACCAGAATAGCAAATTTTTCTTGTAGGAATGGGGCAATGCTACACAGCAGTGTCTTCATACTTGTCAATAAACGGCATCTCGGCACAGTTGCTAACCTTTAAAATACTGCTGTATTTTAAATCTAGGTACAGATTTTTTTTCTGTCTGCAGCTGAGAAAACTCTCACACATCTTGTTAAGGAGCAAAGAATGGGGCTGACTGAAGAATAGGGTGAAGAATGGGGTTGATTGAGGAACAGGGTTGTAAATAAGTAACTTCAAGGACTTTAGGCTTTGTTAGCAACTATAGAGAAATGACTAAGATAAGCTTTGCCAGAACCCCCTCGTGGTCACTGGTAACGATCCTAAACGCAGTGATGAAGAAATAACCACCGGGGGTCCCAAAGCCCACCACCACCTTTTAGTGCGCATGCGGGAGTGATTCTCTCGACGTATGATGTAATGTATGTAACCTAATGAGTATGTATATTTAAGGACAATATAATCACAGCCCGGTGCTGCAAGAAATAATACCACCTTGTCAACTTAAACTTTGTTGGCGAGTTCCTGGAGATTTCTCCGAATCTGGACTATTTCTTAATAATATCTGGCACTGTTACTACTGATCATTAATTTAAAAGCAGCATCAAACGTTAATGCTATGCTGTGGCTGTCCCAGCAGTCCCCCCATAGCCTCAGATAGATATGGCTAACGAAGAAAAGGAAAGCAAAGGGGTTGGAATACATATCACAGGAGGACACTCGGGGGTCTGCGGTTTTTGTGCTTTTTCTCAGAGATGAAGGCAAAGTGGGCACATCAAATTGCTACCATCAGTTCTCTGGAGGTTGTAGAGAACTGGATCCTCCTAAGAGGTACACAGGACAAAGATGAAAACAAAGGACAAGATGAAAACAGTCACACATGACATCAAGTTTCCCTTAATGTCACGTGACATTAAGTCACATGATGTTATGTGACTTGATTCCAAACACAAGCAAAAAATCCTCTGTGATTGCATTTAAGGACAGCAATGGGCTGTCTGAGGAGGCTGCAGAATTTCAATCCATGAGGATTTTCAGACCGCAGTGTTCCAAACGTTGAGCACCACGTTCTCAGGGCATTAGCCTTGTTCTGAGCAGAAGACTGGGCTACATAATCTTCAGAGATCCCTTTTTACTGTATAATTCCATTAAACAAAACAAAGAAATTACAGGACAAACCATTTGACTGGGCTTATGGACTAGGTATCTCCCTCTTCTCCTCACTGGTTGTTAATAAAGCAGCTACTTCAAAGAAGAAGAGGCATTTCAGCAGTTACACAAGTTTGTTTTCTGTTATTTGCAGTGTCTTCCCCAAAACAATGACAGCTTGAAAGCACAATGTGCTGTTTATTTTTAAATTTGACTTAGGTGAAGATAAGACACAAAAAAAACCCCAGCCTTCATAAGACTGATTTGTATTTTCTGGCATGCTAACACTCGCAGGCCCTTGTTCTCATGGGGGACTTCAACCACCCTGGTACCTGTTAGACTGATGGTACAGCCCGGCACAAGCAATCCAGGAGGTTCCTCTATTGTGTGGGAGACAACTTCCTACTGCAAGTAATAGAGGAGCCAACAAGGAGAGGTGCCATGCTTGACCTAGTGCTCACCAACAGGGAAGGGCTCATTGGAAATGTGACTCCAGGGCAGCCTTGGCTGAAGTGATCATGAGATGGTCGAATTCGAGATCCTCTGGAGAGTGAGAAAAGCATGCAGCAAGCTCACTGTCCTGGACTTCAAGGAACCTCCTTAGTAAAGTACCATAGGAAATAGCCCTGAGCAAGGGGGCCCAAGACTATTGGTTGATATTCAAGGATCACCTACTACAAGCTCAGGAGTGTTGCATCCCAACTAGAAGGAAGTGCAGCAGGAGGGCCAGGAGACCTCCTTGGATGGATAAGGAGCTGCTGAGGAAAATTCAGAGGAAAAAAGAGGCTTATAAAAGGTGGAAGCAAGGACAGGTGGCCTGGGAAGAATACAGGGATGTTGTCTGGGAAGCTAGAGACCAGGTTAGGAAAGCAAAGGCCCAGTTAGAATTAAGCTTGGCTAGGGATGTTAAGGATAATACGAAGGGATTCTATTGGTATGTAGCAAATAAAAGACAGACTAGGGACAATGTAGGCCAACTCCGGAAGCCATCAGGACAACTGGCTACCCTGGATTTGGAGAAGGCTGAGGTTCTGAATGACTTCTTTTCCTCAGTCTTCACTCATAAAGGCTCTGACCAAACCACCCAAGTCTTGGAAGACAGACAGAGGGACTGTGAGAATGGAGACCCTAGGCCCACTGTAGGAGAAGATCTGGTTCGAGACCATCTTAGGAACCTGAACGTACACAAGTCCATGGGTCCTGATGAAATCCATCTGTGGGTCACGAAGGAGCTGGGGAATGAAGTCGCTAAGCCACTGTCCATCATACTTGAAAAATCATGGCAGTCAGGTGAAGTTCCCGATGACTGGAAAAAGGGAAATATAACCCCCATTTTCAAGAAGGGCAAAATGGATGACCCAGGGAACTACAGACCAGTCACTCTCACCTATGTGCCTGGCAAAATCTTGGCGTAGATACTCCTGGAAGCATGCTAAGGCACATGAAAAACGAGGGGGTTAGTGACAGCCAGCATGGCTTCACTAAGGGGAAATTCTGCCTCACCAATTTGGTGGCCTTCTATGATGGGGCTATGGAACTGAGGGACACGGGTAGAGTGGCTGACTTCATCTACCTGGACTTGTGCAAAGCATTCGACACTGTCCCACATGACATCCTTGGTGTCTAAATTGCAGACATCAGTTTGATAGATGGACCACTTAGTGGACAAAGAACTGGCTGGATGGCCGCATGCAAAGAGTTGTAGTCAATGGCTCAATGTCCGGCTGGAGACCAGTAACGAGTGGTGTCCCTCAGGGATGGGTGTTGGGACCGGTCTTGTTCAACATCTTTGTCAGTGACATGGACAGTGAGATTGAGTGTGCCCTCAGCAAGTTTGCCAACGACACCAAGCTGTGTGGTTGGGTTGATACGCTGGAGGGAAGGAATGCCATCCAGAGGGACCTTGACACACTTGTGAGGTGGGCTGATGCCAACCTCATGAAGTTTAACCATGACAAGTGCAAGGTCCTGAACCTGGGCAGAAGCAATCCCAGGCACAGCTACAGGTTGGGCAGAGAAGAGATTCAGAACAGTCATGCGGAGAAGGACTTGGGGCTGTTGGTTGATGAGAAAATGAACATGAGCCGGCTTCAGTGTGTGCTCGCAGCACAGAAAGACAACTGTATCCTGGGCTGCATCAAAGGAGCATGACCAGCGGGTCGAAGGAGGTGATCCTGCCCCTCTACTCTGCTCTTGTGAGACCTCTCTTGGGAGTATTGTGTGCAGTTCTGGTGTCCTCAACATAAAAAGGACATGGAACTGTTGGAACAAGTCCAGAGGAGGGCCACGAGGATGATCAGGGGACTGGAGCACCTCCCATATGAAGACAGGCTGAGAAAGTTGAGGCTGTCCAGCCTGGAGAAGAAAAGGCTGCGTGGAGACCTCATAGCAGCCTTCCAGTTATCTGAAGGGGGCCTATAGGGATGCTGGGGAGGGACTCTTCATTAGGGACTGTAGTGATAGGACAAGGGTTAATGGGTTCAAACTTAAACAGGGGAAGTTTAGATTGGATATAAGGAAGATATTTTTACTGTAAGGGTGGTAAGTCACTGGAATAGGTTGCTCAGGGAAGTTGTGAGTGCTCCATCCCTGGCAGTGGTCAAGGCCAGAGCCTTGGGTGCCATGGTTTAGTGTGAGGTGTCCCTGCCCATGGCAGGGTTGTTGGAACTAGATGATCTTAAGGTCCTTTCCAACCCTAACTATTCTATGATTCTGTGATTCTGTAAGTGATAAGAGTTTTGAAAAGACATAGGGTCTACTTGTAATGAAAGTTCATTCCAGACAGGGAAGTATCCAGGACTACATCATACGCAATAAAATAAAGTTATCTGGGAACAACACTGTGAACACCACGAATTCCAGGGTACAGTTACAGCTAGGAGCAACTGCCCTATGTCCAGTCACCTTTTGTGTAGCCATGCAATGATCACAGAACACAGATTTGTTACGGTTGGATCATCTCATTCCAACCCCTCTGCCATGGGCAGGCAAGCTTCATCCTAGCCCATGCTGCTCAAGACTCTGCTCAGCCTGGCCTTGAAACTGCCAGGGATGGAGCATTTATCACTTCTATAGGCCTCCTTCCAGTGCCTCACCACCCTCACAGTAAAGAGCTGTAAAGAAATGATGTTGCCATAACCTTTCTTCTGTGGCCTGTCAGTTCTCATCATCAATTTTGCTATTTAAATCGTACCACACTTCAGCTCTTTTGAGCAATTTCAGGGGAGTAGAGCTGGCTACATGTGGTTGCTCCTTCTCCTTTGCTTCATTTACAGAAGGGATTCGCTACCTGCTCGCTTAAACGAGGACCTCGTTCCTCGCAGCGATGTTCCCAGCCGCACCCCTAAGTTTCACATCAGTCCCAGCAGTGATACGGCCCGCAGGAGGCCGCAGGGAGAGGCCGCTCCTGTCCCTCCCCTGTGCCAGGGTTCTTCAGGAACAGAGGGCTCACCCCGGCCAGGCGGCACCCCCACCTCCATTTCGTGGAGCGGCTGCAAAGGCCGACAGAACATGGCTCCCGAATGCTCCCCACCACCTCACCGCTGCGTGAAGGGCACTTCCCCCCGGCCAAGGGCGGCGGCGGAGGTGGGCGGGGTGCCACCTCCCAGCGCGGCCGTAGGTGGGCGGTCGGACGGCGCCAAAGGCGGAGCGTGTTGTCCTGCCATCGTGCCGTCGGGGCTGTGGTGGCTGAACAGCGGGGGGTTTCACCATGACCGCGGCGATTAGGGAGTGGTTCGACCGATTCCTGCACGAGAAGAACCGCATGACCGCTGTGCTCGAGCATATCGAGAGCAAGACCGGCGTCAACCGCGCCTATATTGCCATCGGTGAGCTCCCACCGCTCCACCCCCATACTTCGCGGGTCTCCTCAACGCTTGAGGTCTGGGGTCGCCGCGTATGGGGTGAACGGAGCGGCCGATGGCGGTGGCTGCGTCCTTCCCCCCCCCCCCCCCCCCCCCCCCCCCCCCCCCCCCCGGCACCGTGGAGCAAGTGGCCGGCTGCCAGCGTTAACGGTTGTCTGCTCTCTCCCGCGTAGCTATCGTCGGGGCGGTGGCCGTGTACCTGGTGGTGGGCTACGGCGCATCCCTGCTTTGCAACATCATCGGTTTCGGCTACCCCGCCTACGTGTCGTGAGTGTCGCAACTCGTGCCCCTCTGGCCGCTGTGGCGCAATGTGTTACTCTTGGGGGAATCACTGCCCTGCGCTGGAGCGCGGTCTGTCACGGTGGACCACGCTCAAAAATACTTCTCCCGCCTACCACTTTCCCTTAGAATATATAGGCGCAAGGTGCTGAGTCAAAAAAGAGGCTTCTTCCATCTGGTAGGTGCTGTGTAATAAATTAGAGATGGGAGATGCTGGGTAGTTTCCACACTTGAAAACCAGTTCCTGAGGCGCATTATGCTTTTGCGTTGAGTTCTCAGCTTCGTCACCTTAAGTACGAAGGTGTATTGCTGTGTCGTAGCTGCTGCTAGTAACAGGAGGGAGAATGGTTGGAATGGTAGTTGTTAAAACTCACACTGGTATTTTTAGCTGAGGACACTTCCAGGTACGCAGGAAGGTGGTGGTGCAGTGTCAGCATATATTTGGTATGAAGCACTGGTAACTAACGGACCAGAGACACAGATGCGTTAAAGAGTGCTGTTTACTCCAAAACCACCTCGCTGATGAGAAGGTGGAAAGGAAGACACTGTAGCTCCTCTTGGGGGTAAAAGACTTAAGAATACTTGATTTTTCAAAGCCTCGTTAAGATGTTTTTGTTTTAAGAATATCTGGTTTCTTTCAAGGGGCATTACGCTGTTGTGAGACCAAAATGAGTTTCATGTTCGTTAAAACCACAATGGGGTGTGTTCCAGAAGACTTCGTAAATGTACTGAATAAAAACCTGTGTAGCTGGACAGTTCATAAAATGGAAGTCCTTCCCAGCTACACTGCCATATTGTTGAAACTCAGTGCTTGCCTTTTGCATAAACTTATATACAGCCAGCAATTTTAAAAAAGTAACTAGCAAACTAGCTCCTGGGCAATACAAACCAGGTTCCTCCACTTTGTTGTTTTTTTTTTTTTTTTTTTTTTTGTTTGTTTGTTTGTTTTTTGTTTTTGGTGTTGTTTTTTTTTGCTTGGGTTTGTTTTTTTCTGTAGACTTTCTTGAAACATGTTCTGGTTGTGATGCTTTTATAAAATGCTGTTTGACGTGAGTACAGATTTAACAGATTATAGGCCAAGAACTCTGGAGAAATTTGGGCTAATTTCTGTAATGCCATGTTTAGTGAAAAGATTAGTTGAAAGGTGTTTTTTCATTAAAATCTGAAAATGAAAATCAGCCAACAAAGCTGATAGTTGTGTAGGAATTTTATGTTTGTGTGCTGTTTTGTCTGACTTAGGTTACTTTTAAACTGGCAGTTATTAAAATCTCATTTAAATTTTTTAATTTGTTTTAAAACTGGTTTGGGATTATATTTTTAAATATAATAGTTGCCATTATGCAACTACAGTGAATAAATTGATAATGAAGAGCTGTGTAGCCTCAAAGCACATGCCCCTCTGTGTCTTCTCTGCACCCACGCTGCATCTGCAGGCTTGCAGGCAAAAGCCGTGCATGTTGGAAAACACTACAACACTTATGTACCTGCTCTGTACTTGGGAAAGAAGAAAGAGGAGGGGATGAAGCCGCACAGACAGTAGCAAATAAAATATGAAGAATGGGGTTTTATCTTCCCTTTTTTTTTCCTTCCAAATCTGGAATTTTTTTCTCTTATTGTTTTGTAGGGTGTCTACCCTTTTTCATGTTGGAACATGATTTTTAAATGTATGTTAATGTGAAAAGTTACTTCCCAGATGTTAGTATTGTGGGGTGGGATTTTTTTTGTGTGGTTGTTTTGGTTGTTTTTTTTTTTTTAAGTAATGGGTGCATATGCCATTGTCCTTAGCTACAAATTTTAGTTAAATAAAAAAACATGATGTTATTTACATAAACAGAACTGACATAGTATTCATGTGTTTTTCCAGTGGATGCTCAGTTAATGCTTTCCCTTTAGTTGTCCTTTTAATGCAGAAATATTTTGAGGACAAAATTACAATCTTGGATGAAAGTCTGATTTAAAATGCATGTGATGTGTTGCATGCCAGTGTCATTCATTGTTTCAGCTCATGAAGCAGCCTGCTAACAGCACAGATAGGCTTCATCCCCTCCTCTTTCTTCTTTCCCCAGTACAGAGCAGATACATAGTGTTGCAGTGTTTTCCAACATGCATTGCTTTGCCTGCAAGCTTGCAGATGCAGTGTGGGTGCAGAGAAGACACAGGAGGACATGTGCCAGTGCATACGTTTCACCGTCCAGTTCAGCTTCCCATTTTTAGGAGCGAGGTGTGTGAACTCAGGATAAGCAGCCCTCGCCAGTCTGTGCAGTGTTAGGGGGTCAGTCTGCTATCTCCTGAGGTGGCTTTCAGTCTGGGGTCAAATATGGGCTGCCTGACCATGAAAAAGAGCAAGAATCCTCTTTGGTGATTACCCTTCTTTGACCACATGGGTTTCATTTTGTTTTGGTCCTACCATGCTACTCTCCATGCCTGTTGTAGGATCTCTATCCTGATGCTGGGCTAAGCTGCAAGGAGATAAAGCTGAATCACCAGAAGTCATTCCTGCTGAATCACCAGAAGTCGTTCTTGCTGCTCAGGATTGTATACTGCTATCAGGGTGCTGCCAAGTGATGTCCCCCATGCTCGTCAACCATCAAGAGCCAAAGCTTAAAGAACACTAGCCAGGGTGGTTTGTTTATTCCTCTCTTCTATTTGGCCTGTCCCCCTTGAACAGATTGCTGAAGAGCCTGCTGTATGAACTAACAGTAGTGAGATTTGCTTCGTAGCATGGGGCAGAAAACAGCTTTCGGCTGTTCTCATCAGCTGCGAACACCCTCAGACAGCTTTTACTGTAAAAGCTGTGGCTTCTGGAAGAGGTCAGGAGTTCTAAACAGAAATATTGTGCAGGTTGTTAGTTTGATATTTATGCAGGTGTTTAACAGTGGATCCAAGCCTGAAATGTCTGGGGTACTGGAAAAAAAAAGAAAAGCAGACTACTCTTCCCCAGTAAGCTTACTTTCTTCTGTTGTTAGATCAGTGTATCATTTCCACATTGTCAGTGACTGAATTTAATGTGAAAAGCAACAAAGTACTAGGTCAGGCTTCTATTTAGCAGAAAAGACAGTCATGAAGGAGCGGGACAGATGTCTGTTTTCTGCAAGAGAGATCACCTTTCTTTCCTTACAGTTGTTTAAAATGGCAGACAGCTACCAGATGAGTAACCCTTCAGGCATGTTATAAATTAGGATTTTAGTCCTGGGTTACCTTGGTCACAGTAGTTACCGTTAATCTCAGTGCTTCCCTAAAAGAAAATATGTATGGGAAAGAAACTCAGAGAAGGATGCTCAGCTCAGGTTTCAGCCTGTTTACACATGCAACAAGGGTATTTTTGCAGATGTGCAGATGTATGCATGTCCAGCCTTGCATAAATCTCCCAGGTTAATGCCTGTTACAGTTTCAGGCAGGCACAGCTACTGTTTCCTTTCTCCTACCCCCTGTCTATGTTCACCTCCAATTTTGCTTTCTGTAAGTCTTTAGTGGTTTTACGCACAGAGGGGTGTCTTCTCTATCAGTACAGAATCTTTCAAAAAACCCAAGTCTTCTATGCCATGTCATCAGCAAGGGTCCCTAATGTAGGTGAAATTAAGCAGTAGTTTCCCAAGTAAACATGACCTGTCTGTTTCCCACTAAGTCAGACAGTCTGGATTAAAGTTTGTTATGAAACACTAGTCTTAGTCCCTAAAATTCTGATTAGTGCTATGTGATGGAATAAAATAATTAGTTCCAAGTTGAAACCTCATATTTGTTTGCAGGCTTTTGGATTTGCAGTAGATCAGTTTTGAAAAGTTTACCACAGATGATAAAAGCTACTCTTCATACTTCTAGTGAGCTTTAGCTGGACAAGGCGATATTCAGACTAGTAGATGGAAGAAGTGAGTGTTGGCAGTATATAAATAATGTTGTAAATTTTTTCACTGCTTCTTCAAAATGCCCAGAGCTAGCTGTTTAAATACAGCTTCACCCATAGCCAGTGGTGGTTAACTGCCTCAAAAAAAATGTAAGAGCATGCAAGCAGGAAGGGAGCCTTTGATGACTAAGAAATGTGTGCAAAGGATTGGAAAGTTCAGAAGTGCTGTCATATTGGATTTAAAAATTGCAAAGATGAAAACAGCTTTGGGCAGTACAGTGTCTGAACTTACTACTGGTGTCTTCAGGGTAGAAAAGCAATATAATACAGTCATACTTTGGTTAATTTTATGCTGTTCAGTTTATCTGAAGAGCAGCATTTACAAACAGGAAACAGTCTAGATTGATTGTAGAGAAGTATAAATGCTTAATTCAAGTTTTTATTTGAATATTGTGGTGTCTTGAGCCTGTCCCCTAGTTCCTTTGTCTCTTCCGTACCTCTGAAACAGGAACACTGCATTTCTTTGGTCACAGTTGTTTAGAAAACGTAAGTCATGCCTGTATTTGTGGAGAGCTAGCACAGCACATCTACCCTCTTTTAGCAAGTTTTGAGGAGAATGCTTAATTTTTCCCCTTACAGAAAATGTTGCATGATATGCTAATATTCACAAGTAATTTTCTAAAGCTGCTGCTTTATAAAAGCAATTTGAGGAGATGTAGTGTATCTAACCAGATTCATAATGCTCAATATGAATATAAGTAGAACGTTTTCAAATCTGGCTGCCCTTACACTGTTTCCTCTCTGACACCGTTTTCATGGAGCTTCAGACACTAGAAAGTATATTTTGACTTTTTGTATATGTTCTGCCAAATGAGTTCCTCCAAACACCCTTTCTTTCTTTCAGGTTTTTCAGGTTTCAGAGTGCCTTTTAAAAGCCGCCTTATCTGTGGACTGGATGAGTGATTTGCTCTCCTTTCTAGAGATAGCAAGTGGTTAGATACAAGAGAGACTCTTAATATTATGATGACTGTAGGAAAATTTTAGTTTATCTTCCGTGTCCTAAATGTAGGTAAAAAAATTTTAGCATCTTTGTTTTACAGGTAGAGTCACACTCTGAATTAAACTAATTGGAAGGTTTGCAGTTTAT